AATCCATTAGGGTTCAAGACTGATAACAGTCCTGAACTTCTACTAGACTATAAAGTGTAAACTAAATTTTTTTTTTGATAAATGAGAGTAGTTTTATTAATTCAAAAAATAGCAGTACATTCAGCCTAGGAAGAGGCATGAGGTGTTACCTCCCCCTAGGACTGAGTCATAAACACTAAACAAACACAAGCCTGAAGCACAGTTACAAAGTGGCCCAAAACAGATCTCCCCTTGATATCCCTTCCTTGGCCAAAGAATCAGCCATTACATTTGCTGATCTGCTGGCCCACTGAAACCTGACTGACATATTCCTTGTCAGCCATTTAACTTTATTTAACAGATCCCCGTAGCCCCAACAAGCTGTCTCTGGACTTGTTAACCAGCCCACTACTACCTTGGAATCCCTTTCTACTATCAAATTATTCACTCCAAATTGACTGGCCATCTGTATACCTTGTACCGCTGCTAGTATCTCTGCCCTTACAGAATCACCAACACCCACCGGTCCCGAAAATAAAGACAACATGTTGCTATCTTTGTCTCTCAGAATCCCTCCTATTCCAGATGGCCCTGGGTTACCTTGGCAGCTACCATCAAAATTCAGTTTTACCACYCCATYCRGTGGGGATTCCCATTCAGCTTGTGATTTGTTCTTTGTGGAGACTGTAGAAGCCACTGCTGCCCAGTTTCTCCTTAAGTCATCAAAGGATGACACGCACAAATTGAGAAATGGTCCAAAGTGTAAACTAAATGTTCAGTATCATTCTTTTCCTGCATAGTTGTAAGTTGTAACCTATATTAACTTATTTATGAGATTGCATCAATATCTTAAACTTAGAACACATTTTTCTCATCAACTAGTCAGCACCTTAGCACCAACTAATCATCACACCAATTAGAGAGGACAAAAGAGAAATCACCTCACCGTCTTGATAATACTATTATATGATTAAGATAAGGCAACCATGTCTTGCACAAGTACCAAATTTACAAACAAAAAAAAGCATCTTAATAATATTCTCTAGCATACGCTCTTCCTCAAAATAGAAGTAGGAAGAATAGAGTTTATCTTTAAAAAAAAAAAAAAATTAGGAAGAAGAGAATTAGAGCCATGAAAAAAGCTCATCAGGAAGCTTTGGAGATTTGAGACTAAAAGAGAAACTTTATAGAGAAAGCTTGTGGTCCTTAACTATGGGTGGCCCATTTGAATAGAAAACTAGGTCTGTATTATCACCTTTGCAGTATGTGCTAGGAAAAGTTGGGTTTTCATCACCTATTTGCCAAATGCACTAAATTAATAGCTTTAGAGGAAGACAAGTGAGGCAGAATTGGAGGTGCTGCTAGTTGCATCCAAGACTTTATCATTTATCACCAAAGCTCTGTACGTATTATAGGCAGTGTTTAGAACCATGGTGTTGCATTCCCATTTTGACTCCACCTAAGTGCCACATGGATGATTTGACTTCAACATATGAAAAATGCACTTGGTTGGGAAGATTAAACTAGAAATGGTTGTACTATTTTTTGCATTAAGTTATGTGCATTGTGGTGTTGGGGGAAACACCAAAAAAAAAACATTTCCAGAATTCCGTTGTCCTATTTGGCAACTAAGGTTTTTTTTTTCTGAATGGCACCTGGCACCTAAATATTTGAATCTGTAATAAGATATTGTGTTGTATATTTTGGGATAAAACATTTCAATTTCTTTATTTCCAATGTAATGATTGTTGAAACATTAAGACAGAAAACACTATGGTACCCAAGGCAATAGAAAGAATGCATAAATGTGTTTCATGGTTAATTAATTTGATGCATCTTTCATTAAGGCATTGAGGGGAGATTTATTAGGTCAAGGCTGTTTAAAGAAAGAAGGCTAAAAGCGGAGGCAAGGCTAAAGCCTCAAAATAGTCTATCAACAAAAAGAATGCATACAAAATTGATCTACATCCCTAATATAATACTGTAGAAAATTTGGCAGACTAACATTACAAGTCCCACTATTGAGGCAGACCCACAGATTGAACACTTAAACTTACAAGAATGTGAGCCCTTCAAATGCCAGTATTTGACATGTGATAGAAGCTTTTATTAAAATTCATTAAAGGAACAGATACAAGAAAGCAAGGGGAGAGGTAAACTCTCTTAGCCCTCCATTAAAAGAAAATAAAATTACAACAAAGCCCAAAACTAACTATCCCTTCCTACCCCTTGCAAGTGTATCAGCAAAAGAATAAGCATTTCACTTTACCCATTGCAACTTTATCTCCATGCCCTGGATCGGCCACTTAAACTTCTTTTTTTTGTTAGCAAATTTCCAAATACCATTCTCCTCTTTTTTGTAGCCAACTAATGACCAGCTTTAAGTTTCCTTCAACAATCAGCTTACTAATATTCATTTCTTCTGGTCTTTTTTATCCCTTCCATTACCGCCAAGATCTCAACTCTAAGTGAATCACCTATACTAATAGGGCTTGAAAATAAAGCAACATCCCTGAAAAGTCCTCCAATGCTTGTAGGTCTCCCTTGGTCATTTTTATTCTTTCCCTGCTTCAGTAGTCCCGTAATTGGATGGATTTTTTTTTTTTTTGCCAAGTGTTTTTAGTGGCTTTTGTATAGGGTGTTTGGTTGGAAGAGTGTGGCATTCTATTTTCTCACACTCCTTCCTCCATATTAGGGCTATCATGCTACCTTTACCTTTTCCAAAATAAATTATTTGTAGTATATCAAAAATCTCATAAAATTGAAGTGAAATGATGACAGTCTTGAACTAAGATTTTAAATCATATTGTTTAATATTACAAAAGTAGAGAAATGATTAAGCACATATTAGAATTCTGAAAAGATCTCAAAAAGAACCTTATTATCTATGCCACGAAATGAGGTTGTGTAAGGATTCTTGTCATCAGCTTCATTTGTATGGTTATATACCACATCCAAAATGACCTGTAATAAGCCAGTAGATACCACTATCACATGGAAACCCTAGATGTACTCCATTAAAGTAAAGATATATCCAGAAGTTTAAGCCAGGTAAAATAAAAAACTTGACCTACCTCAATCCCAGCAGCATGTAAGGCTTTTACCATTTCTTTGAATTCCCGAGAAGCAGCAATAGATCCACCCCCAGAACTGGCATAGCGACTCATAGGAGCAAAGAAATTTATTGTAGAATAACCCCAAGTATTGATCTCCATGATTACCAAAACCCAAAGAATCAAAATTACATTGTTTTCCAGAACAAGTTCATTTAGAGAATTCAAAGAAAGAACAAAACCAATACTGCATGCAGATAAAGTGCAATTCATTTAGATAATAGAAATGGTATAGAGCATTTGAACCATGAAAGAGGGACTTACTCAAAAGATGCAAGGTTAAAGGATGTATAAATGAAATGGAGTGCCTGTTGAATGCTCCATTAAATTAAATCTTGAAAACAAAAAAAAAAGAGTTGTATAATAATTTTATTATTAGTCTGGGACTGAGCTTTAAAAAAACAATAAATGGACTTTCATCAATGAAGAAAGAAAACAAGTTTGGCAATAGGAAAAATATAGGTGTTGATCCATTCCTTTTGCAACCCATTGATGTAGAAAAAAAATATTTTGGGATCAACGCCCAAATAAGCCCAAATCATTAGACAAAGATTATGTTGGTAGGTGGGGAAAAGGAGATAACTTCTATGAAGGCAACAATTTAAAAAAAAAGTGCATGGTAAAGATAAATTCAATATGCAAACCCTGAGTCTTAGATAATATTATCAAGATAAAGAACATAACATAAATGGTTGACTTTTGTTTCTAACAATAAGTAAATGGTTGAAATTTACCATGTGATCTCTAGGGTTTGGACGCCTCTGAAATTCCAACTCATCAAACTCAAATACAGGTAAAAGTTCCACAGCATTGATTCCAAGCTCCAAAAGATGTGGGATCTTAACAAAGAAAGGGGAAAATGTCAGGGAAATTAGGCAATAGGTTAGAAAAAGTCAAATAGTATCCTTAGTGAATTACTGTAAGCATAGCACAACTGAGCTACATATAGATGAGTAAGAGATAAATAATAACTTGGGTATCATGCAGGAGATCTCCAAAGTTTGTGTCAAAACGAAAAAAATAATAAATTGTGAAGCTACTTAAAAATGTTTATCTCATCAATGTCAAAAGTCAAGATAGTGGAGCATGTTATGAAGATCAATGATGCAATAGATTACAAAACTAACTGAATGAACTATATAATGATCCAGTTACCATATCATAAACCAAAAAAGCAAATTAATTCCATATCATTAAGTGTAAATAAACAATTGAAAGACAATTACATATGTTCAACAATAACCATAACATTAAATATTATTCATAACAAAGGAGGATTGAGGAGGATATTGCCAATAGAATTAGAGTAGGATGGGCAAAATGGAGGGATGCACCCAGAGTCTTATGTGATATGCAAATCCCACTTCAGCTAAAAGGAAAATTCTATAAAACAGTTGTAAAGCCAGAAATGTTGTATGGAGTGTTGGGCAGTTAAGAAACAGCATGTCCAAAAACTGAGTTTGGAAGAAATGCAAATGCTTTGCTGGATGAGTGGTAAAATTAGAAAGGACAAGGTTAGAAAGTAAGGGATATGAAGGAACATAAGAGTAGCTCCAATCAGTTATAAAATGAGAGAGAGTAGATTGAGATAGTTTGGTCATATGCATACTTGCATAGAAGACCATCTACAGCACCTGTTAGAAAAAGTGATCTGTTACAAGTTGAGGGAGGACAGAAGAGCTAGGGGCAGAGGAGAAAAACCATTATGTACAAATTTACTATCCATGTTACTATTTACCACCTTTAATGAAAGTGACTAAGACTTACTTGAAACACTTCCTTATATACCTTCAATTCCTAACAAACAGTAAACAACAAGAAACTATTAAAGACACTGAAAATAGTCCCCACAGTTGGAGCTGCATCTAGCCTCTCTCTTTTGGGAAGTTGCCCCTTATTTTTGAATATAAATATACTTAAAAAACAAAAATAACTCAAAATTAAAAAAAAAAAGACAGATAAAAAAAACAAAAATTGACTGGCATGGAAAACCCCCTAAAACTTCAAATTTTGTGAAATTCACCATAGAGCCTCGATGGTGGGGCAACAAATCCTTTAAGTTCTCAGGTAAATATGTCAATGTCGATTTCTGATCCAAGTTTGACTAGCTTGCTGGATTTTCTGAGTCAGAAGAGAAGACTCTCACTCAAACTACAGTTCACACCATCTAATAGTCTTAAAACTTAGAGAAAGCTTATAGACTTTCTAATATTTTGTCTAACAAAGGATTCACTCAATTTGGGTGGCTGAGATTCAATCTGGAGCTGACTGAAAATTGTCTGTTCAGCAGCCAATCAAAAAAAAAAAAAAACATTGTCTGGTCAGCATGCTTTTTCTAGGAAATCTCAGACTTGCCTCTAACTTTAGACCTTTTCCCTTATCATCTGGTTCATGGGTACCATGATTAATAGGCACAGCAACTAATGTACAAGTATAGAGCCTATTAAAGCAGTCTAATTGTTTCAATATGGATCCCAATTTCAATGTAATTTCCTCTATGGAAGTTTTAAAACGTCCTCAGTGACAGTTTTAAAGGAAAATGAGATACTTTTTAGAGTCCACTTTAAATAGAAAAGGCTCTTAGTTATCTCTATCCAGCTTGACAAGTACTAAAATTTTACCATTTTTAGTGATATCTATTTTTATTGATAGTAGTTTTTGGATCTAACATTTATGACTTACTAATTCTAGCAAGTTTTAGGCAGAAATGTAAAACAAGGTTCTAGGAATCTTAAAATGTCAAATCCCAAAAAATAATCCTTGACGTATGGAAAGTCTATGACTATAGTCAAAGTGATGGATAGCATTCATTATTTTTATCATTGATCTTTCGTAAACAAGTAGTTAAATTATGTATAGTAAAGTGCTTTAAATGAAAGGACATGATTTCATATACAATACAAATCAATATTTTTTATTAGTAACAAATGTATTACTAATAGATTGAAGTTATAAAAAAAAGGATGGTGAGTGAACATCCTTCTACAATATAGCCTCTTACATGAAAAGGGCCAAATCAACTAAGCCTTGTATCAACAATATGGTCAAATACATCAATCTTGTTGCCACTCAACTCTGTTCAACCGGTCTAATCAGCCGGTCCGGTCCAATTTTCTAAACACTGGAGCCAAGCCTTGTCTATGATATACCTTTGGGCATCTTATGAAATGGACAGGATTCTTTTACAAAAATTCTGTCCTTCCAAGTTCCAAATACCCCCTAGTGTTGCAGAAGGAGAAATTCTCCAATAATATGACCCCCACAGTAATTCTTTTTTATCAATCAGTTCAAAAGCTATTATTATAAGACAAGATTGTAATAGTTAAGGCAATTGACTAAGGCCAAATCGGTCCTCTTAGGGAATCTGTATAGTGACAGTTCTTTGCCTATGTAATTCTTGAGTTCCCTTATGTGAGCCTTGATGCTGTTGTACATCTCCTCATGTATCAGTTTCTATCTTAATGAAATTCTGTTATCTCCTTTCCAAAGAAAATGACTAAGGAGTCTCCAATCCACATAATTATTTTTCTCCATCTAGTTGTATTGACCATATCCCCTTGGACCCCTTTACTTGTTAAGGGCATTAGATGAGATGGGTTAGCAACCTGAGCTCCTACAAAAAAGTAAACACCTCAATCTTTCTCAAGTGTGCACTAGATGGGACCAGTAAAAAAACCAAAAAGGTAAATGGGCCTTGTTAACTTTTTACCTAAATTTTCCAGTTTCCTAGGGTGACCTCAAAGGTCTAGGTCTTTGATCTTCTTAAATGCTAAAGCAACTCAAACAGTGAAAGAAAGTCTAAGTTCAACCTAGATAAAATATTAAAAAGATTAGAAGAACATAGACTTGATGGTCTTATCCTAAGAATTAGAGTGAAGTTCCATGGAAGTAACAAGACCCTGGATCCTTTTTCTTCATCTCAGATACCCTATCCACCTAAACTCAACAAACCAGTACCTTCTCAATCACCCCAAGGTAGCTGCCACGTATGTCTGGATCCAGCCCACTTGATTCATCAGCAGTAAATGAACGAACATTCATTTCATATATAACAAGATCTTTCTGCACATAAAGCACAAATATAAAACAAAACTGATGTCAGAACATAACAAGATGCACCAGACACAAGACACATGTAACTTGGATACAAATTCAAGGTGGTGAATGCAGCTACCCACAAAACCAATATATTGATTCATCCAATATGGTTACATGATGACAACACCAAAGAATACATTACATTGATAAATGGTTTTCAGTTAACATAAAAAGCACCTATTCAAAAATGTTTAGATTAACAGATATACATTAAAATGTTGTTTAGATTAATAGCAAAAGCAAAAGAAGCGTGCAAACAATCTGACTACTCACTTGGACATGCATCAAAGAGCAGATTGAACTTATACCTGATACAACAATCAGTCATGGAAAAAAATGTATATTTTAAATAGAACAATTGAAACAGAACCATACATGAAACTTATTTAATTTACCTCAGGAATGCTTGGAAATTTGTAATTTTCTCCCCAATCAAAAGGCAAGCTAGTAAAGTCATAAGTTCCAAGAAACTTAGACATCTTATCTTTGGAATCTCCAAAAAATCTGCGACCCTCAACTAGTTTTGCATAAGGATCTATAAGGACAACACTGCTGTCAAATCGATGCCCTTGCTTCCATTCTCGAGGGCCATCAATACGATAACCATAAAGAACACCATGTCGAGGCAGGTCCTACATATCATGCATATTAAATGATATTAATATTTTAAAAAGTAAAACATCAACAACCGAAACATTGAACAAATTGGGCAAAGAAGATAATGCATTGGAACAATAGCATCATTAATCATTTATTTAGAACTGTATACTTAATTGTGCATACATCCCCTAAGACACCACATGTGGAAGTTGCAGAAAGAATTCTTAGGTACCTAAAGAAGTATCTAGGAATTGGCTTCCCATTTCATAAGCACAACCATCTGAAAGTGGAAATCTATACAGATGCCGATTGCGCAGGTGTTGTGGATGACAGGAATCTACAAGTGGTTACTGCACTTTTGATGGAGAAATCTAGTGACATGGAGGAGTAAAAAACAAAATGTGGTTGCAAGATCTAGTGCTGAAGCTGAGTATAGGGCTATGGCACAGATAATAAGGCAGCCATAAACATTGCTACTAACCCTGTCCTACACAACAGGACAAAACACATTGAAGTGGACAAGCACTTCATATGAGAGAAATTAGAAAAGGGTGAAATTTACACTCCATATGTTAACTCCAAGGAGCAGTTGGCCGATGTTCTCACAAAGGGACTTCCATACTTGCCACATAATGAGCTATGTGACAAGTTGGGCATGATAGATATATTCAGCCCAACTTGAGGGGGAGTGTTGTTAGAATGATTTGTTAGTTGTTTCGGCGGTTATAGTCTTTTATGCCATTAGTCTTAGGGTGTTTTCAGTTTGTTTATTGTTTTTTATTAGGGTGTGCCGCCAGGGGCAAGCATGTAACTTTCCCTCTTTTATTTTTATCTCATTAATATAAATAGAAAGCTGGGTGCCGCCAGCTAGGAGTTCTGGCTCCCAAACAGCCATTCTCTCTTCTCCTCTTCTCTTCCTTCTTCTCTCTTCTTCTTCCTTTCTTCTCTTCTTCATAGAATAAAACAAGGACAAACAATCCTTGCAAACAACAGAAAGACAGAAGTAAGGTAGTACATGTCAAAATCTGATTTCAAGATTACCTATATTTGAAAATCTATTATCAGGCCTACCTCCACAAATATGTGCCATATGTCCCCTGTCCTGTTCATTTGAGGATCCAAAGTTAGTTCCACTGCTGCAGAATCAAGTCTCCTGAGAAGTATAACAGTATGAGAGAGTTGAAGCTAACGAAAAAGGGGAGAGAGAAATCTTTTCAAGACCAATATGAATCAAATTTGTAGTAGAAAATGTTGTTTGGTTCACAGAAAAATCTACTAAAAAGGGTGTCAAGATTATAAGATCAAACCAAGATTTAGTAAGGGAAAGATAAGCAAAGTTGGAGTGTAGGGCATTGGCAAATGTGTGGACTACATGATTTAGGGTAGGGTAATGAGGGACAAGGTTGAATGATTAACTTTTTAGGTTTAAGAGATTCAATATTGGTTTCACTAACTAATCAGAAATGGTCTGACACAAAAGGACAAAAATTGTTGATACAGGAAATTTTCATTTTTTCTATATAAACTAAGGAAAGATGTAGGTGGATAAGTTTTAGTCTTATGAGGATATTGGATAAACTCATTAGATGAAGAATTTGTGGATTATGGCTACAATGGCTGCTTGGATATTAAAGTAATGATAGAAAAAAAAAAAAGAGTGAATCCGGAATCATTTAATGGGGACCTAAAATCACTCTGAGGGATGGGAACCATTCACCACTGTTAACAGAAGCTTTAAAAAATTTAATAAGTCAACTCATTAATGTATAAACACTCAATACATATTTATAGACTATAGACCAATACAAAGCCTAATAAAACTAGGAAACAGAAAATTAAGGAGTTGTCACTCCCTTACTTTAATTCAAAGAAAATTCAAAGGTTTTTTTTAGAAAAGGTAATGAATGATTGTTAATTCATCAAAAAAAGTGATACCTGAATTATCAAAAAAAAAAAAAGTGATACCTGATATGCAATCCTATCCTTTTCAAGTTCTATATAGTAACAGTACAAAGCCACCTGTATATTAACATTTTGCAAAAAGTGTTCCTTAGAGAACATGACAGACGCCTCTATTCTCTCTATAATTGAATTCCATATCCTGCTAAAGGTACATTTTGCCCCTAGAGGCAGGCCCAAACATTTTTTTGGCATTTTTCTTACCTCACACCAATGTTTGTCATATTTCTAGTCCTTCCGAGTTACCAATATGGCACAATGCACTCTCATTGAAGTTGACTTTTAGCTTGGACACCACTTCAAACCATCTAAATATGCCTAACAGGTTGAGGACCCACTCTTCTGATACCCTTAAAAAGAAAAGGGTATCATCTGCAAGCTGAAGTATCTCTATTTTTGTTCCCATTTCCATAAAGGATTGTCTTGCCTGACTCCTCTTTAACTTCTGAAACCAGACAGGGTTCCACTTAGGAGTGAGCATGAGTTGGTTCGGTCCAGTTCCAGGTTTTTGGAACCAGAACCTACCCTGTGAAGCTCAATTCCAAGGTCAGTTTTGGCCTTGACAGTTTCGAGGTTGATTCCAAGGCCTACCCATGGAACCTGTTCTTTCTTTACTCTCCCGCTTCAAAGAAAAATGAAACATGTCCTTTAAAAACTTGATTTTCAATAATGATAATATATAGTTTTAAAACTTATATTATCTTTATTGATTAAACTAAGTAATTTGATATGTAGATTATCATAATATATTAACATATGGTTAAAAATTTGTCATTATAATTTAAATTTTGTATATATTACCTTTTACATTCAAATATTAAAATGAAAACAAATTACCAAATCACTTAAGTAACCCAATGGTCAAGTGAGACCATGGCTTTTGTAACCATGAGTGCTTGGGTTCAAATCTTCATATCCTTAAAAATATTTTGGGGTTTATTTCAAGGCAAGTTCAGTTCCACCATGGCCACCCAAGGCTGGTTCATCGGGTTGGTTTGGGTAGGGTAAATCCCTAGACCCTAGAACCGACCTGGGTGGGGGTCAATTCCAAGAATTCGAAACGAGACCCTATCGGTTCAAGATCAGTTCGAGGTCGGTTCCATTCGGTTCTGGGTAGAACCTACCCATTTGCTCACCCCTAGTTCCACTTACTAAAATATTATTTTTAGTATTCAAATTCATTGGAATTACGTTGTACTTGAGATTTTGATAAACTTATTTTTCCATTTATAGTATATTTTTGTTTTATATTTAATTTTATAAATCTATGCCAATAATATATAAAATATATATGTATTTATCTATCAAAAAAACATAAATATATATATGTATTTACTGATAGTTCAATCAAATTGGATTCAAATCAGATATCTAGATATGTTAACTAATTGAATTCAAATCTATGCTTTACATATTTGTCAGACATAAGACCAAATTTAGATCTCTCGGATTATTTCAATCCAATTATTTGCAGCCCTAAATCCCATGGTTGCCACTTCTTCTCCTTGAGTCAGTTTGTTTGTTTGCATATCACCTAATCAACGATAAACAAAAGTCCCTTGTGAGTCTAAAATTATCATAGGCAACACCTTCATTCTTGAAGTGAGCACCTTAGCTTGGCCAAAATCTTATAGAAACTGCTTAGCAAGTTTATGTAGGGGTGCAAATGGATAGGATCATGATCCAATTCAATCCGAAATCCGATCCTATTTTGTTGGATTCAGATATATTCCTGTTGGATTTACAGATCAGATACTAGGATCTGATTGAAAATCAGAGCAAATTCGAATCAGCTCCTTATTTATTTATTTATTTATTTATTTATAAATATGTTTATATTGCATTTTTGTAATTTTATATTGTTTATTTTTTACATATATGATGAAAATAGTTGAAGAAAATACTTGTATTTTTTATTTTTTCTTTATATAAATCTGTTATATTTTAAAATTTTCAGATATTAAACCAGATCAGATCATATTCGGATATCCAACATTATTAACGGATTCGGATTTGAATCTGTGTTTATGAGATCCGGTTGGATCTTCTGATCGGATCGGGTTCAGATATACCCTGATTTGAATCCGATCCGATCCGTTTGCATCCCTAAGTTTATGGGTCTACAGTGGGTCTATACTCTTGAAGCTCCTCAGGACCCCCTTTCTTTTCTATAAGAGTGATGTGGTTTGCATTTAGAATTCTTTCAAGCTTGGAACAAAAGTCCTGGAATTCATTCATTACTTCATTCTTCAACACCTTCCAGCACTTCTCGTACAAGTTTATAATGAACCAATCAGTCTCTATCAAGGATCAAAATTTTGCAACATATGGTGTATTGGGTTGTTGATATATTCAGGTAGTAGTCAGGCCTAAGACTGAAACCCTGTAAAATTAAAAAAAAAAAAAAGAACTAAAAAAATAGTTGTGTTCCTTTGTTTCACCCGATACACAAGTTCATGTGCATAAGGTTTTTTTTGGAGTAAAAAGAAATTTCATTAACCTTGATCCTTACTGATTTATCACCATCCATTTCTTTGATTGAATTCCAAACTTCCTTTTCTCAAAAGGGTTTCCAGCTCCTTGTGCCTCCAATAGCACTTCAAATCATAACCCTTCCACTCAATAGCCTGTAAACTAGTTATGCAATGACCCTGAAAATTTAAATGCAAACCAACTATAACTAGACAAATCCGATTATACACAAATTGTGAAATGAAAAAATTACCACTGGTTTCTAAACCTGTTCATGAGCCAGGGCCGGGCCAGGTATTACCAATTATCAACAGAAAATGTCCAAGCCCAAGCTCGGCTCAATAATCAGGCATATTATTGAGCCTGAAGCCCAGTCTGAAGAGGAAGTAAAACTGCATAAGTATTGAGACTCAAGCAAAATTTATTATATGTTACTAATATATATAATATTATTATATATTACTAATAATAATATACTAGTAAATGCTAATATATATAACTGCAAAAGTAAATTTGAGACTCAAGCAAAATTTACTATTTGTTACTAATATATATAATATTATTATATATTACTGATAATAATATATTAGTAAATGCTAATTTATATATATATATATATATATTACTGAATGCTAAAATATATGCTTTATTATATGTTACTATTTACCGATATATATTTTCATTATTGTTAATTGTCAATAGTTTTGTAATCTAACCATGTTGCCACAAGGGCACTTAGTCTTTTTCCCTTCTTTTTTCTGTATTGGGTTGCCCTTATTATAAATAGAATGGCTGGCGCCACCAGCCCACCTTTTGGCTCTCAATCAAACTTCCTCTCTTCTCCCTTCTCTTTCCTCACATTCTATTGACTTTCTACCATGATAATAATTATATATAATATTTATTGGGTTGGGCTCAGGTTTTACTTGCCCATATACTTACAGACCGAACCCGAGCCCGAGCCAACAGGCTTCAAAATATGTTCCCAAGCCCAACAAAGAACTGGTCGGGCAAGGCAATCCCACCAGGCTACCCAGCCCATGAACAGGTCTACTGGTTTCAAATTCAGCCTAAATCCCAACTACCACTTTGTGCCATATCAACACCATTTTATGGCAATCTTCCTTCTAGAGAATTTTCAGTCGTGCTGGATGAATCCTATCATGTAATTTCCTAGTTGGCGTCAAAATCAAGCATATGGAGATTATTTTTACATATACAATGAATGGCAAAAGTTCTAGCACACACATACACATGGTTGAGTGGCACATGTTTATACATGTAGAAGAGGCGAGAGAGTGGAGAGTAATGAGTGCTGAGAGGAAAATAAATGGACTAAAATCTTGGGTTAGTCATTTGGACGTGGTCGAGAAAAGTACCAGCACCATATGGTAAAGATATGAATGATAATACCAAGTGGCAAGAGTACTTTTGGTAAACTACAATTCACAATTGTTTAGAAACTACACCTTCCAGGAAGTGATAAGCAAAGCATGACTGCAGTTGCATGTTGTGAAAAGATAGCAAAGTTGATTCCATTTTCCATTTCAGATGCTCCAAGTGGAAAAGCTTGGCCTGGAGAGACTTTCATTGGTACGTTGAGTTCAGACCTTTCAGCAGCTTCCTTATACAGTTAACAAAAAGAAGCATTCAGTTATATAAACCAATATGTTTATATCATTGTCTTCAGTCTAGTAAATCCACATATGCAACTCTAAAGTAAGATATCGAGCACAATTCCTCATTCACCTTTTAACTATTTGAACCAAACAAAACCATAAAGAAGCATTTAGGACAACATAACAATTATCTCCATTTGGAAGTAAGAATAAACTGTTGCAACAAACCTTCATAACAAAGTGCAAAGTAGGCAAACATTAATATGAAGTGTTTGACACAGAAACCTTGAAAACCCAAGAGGAAGAGAAAGAGATGACTATTGATCAAGTTAGTAAAATAGAAAAAGAAAGTGATACTGAAAAGATAGCTCTAACTGAAATTCAAGTTAGCAAAACTTTGGGACTATTTTTTCTGGGAGGGGAAGATTTTGCAATAAAAACTTTTGGAGTTTGAAAAGAAGCATGTTATGGGAAAGGCTAGTTCTACTGTAGAAGTTTGATTATATTCAGAGGGTCATTGGTCAGATCACATCCACGGCTTGAGGCATTAGGAGGAGAGTTTTGGGTCTTTTGTGATAGTCGTGGATCATGGGAGTTGAGGTTTTCTGTTTGTCTAAGGTGGGGGTGGAGGAAAGTTGTGGTCTGGGCTTTAGGTGGGCAATTGATTGGGGGGGGGTTGAGTTGTTTCTTTCTTTATATTTTGGGTCATACCTTATCACCTTTCTTGTAGTTTCCTTATTTCTTAATAATATTGCCTTTTCATTTATTACCAAACAAGTATTGCAACTGGAAACAAGCTATGAAACCTATGTGCATTAGCACTGCCGCATGATGGCCAAAATGGTAATTTGACATGGCCTGATGCTGAACTTGTTCAAGATGCTTTATGTTGTATCTTGTAAAAACAGAGGAAAAAAACTAAACCTTCTTTATTCTTCAATTTGATCCTGTATCTTGTACAAACAGAGGATAAAAACCTGTTCAGAAGGGGAGTCAGTTTCAAAGTTGGGGATGGGAGAAGGACCAGGTTCTAGTTGGATCCCTGGACTGGGGAGATAACTCTTAAGGAACTATTTCCCACTCTGTTCAGTCTGGCTGTAGATAAAGAGGCATTGGTAGCTGATACCTTTGTGTTGAGGGACAGTGCTATATGCTGGGTTCCAGCCTTTAGAAGGGATTTCAATGACTGGGAGATTTAGAAGGTTGGAAATCTCCTAACTTTGCTTCAGTCTCAGGTGTTGAATCTGCAATAAGAGGATTCCTTAATATGGAGATGGAACAGAAGCAGAGAGTTTTCAGTTAAATCCTTCTACAACTCCATAGTGGGTGGGCCTGAAGCTCTCTTTCCTAGCAGGGCTATTTGGGGGATTGTGGCACCCTCCAAAGTCAAGTTTTTTGTTTGGGTGGCAGCTTTAGACAAGTGTCTCTCTAAAGAGATGTTGGTGAAGAAAGGTTTTAATTGTAATGATCTGAGGTGTAGTCTCTACGGTGTGTTTACAGAATCAATAAACCATCTGTTTTTACACTGCAAGTTTGTTACAAAAATCTGGAACCACTTCTTAAGAAGTTTGAGTTTAAGCTGGTGTATGCCAACCTCAGTTAAAGCATGCCTGGAAGGGTGGCAGATTCAATGGATGACAAAAAAAGGAAAGAGGTGCTGGTCTGTTATTCCCCTAGCAATTTTGTGGGCAGTATGGACAGAAAGGAATAGCAGGGTTTCTGAGCTGAAATCCTCTTCAGAAGAAGAAGCCATCAATTCGGCTTTAGGCTTYGATAGAATTCGGTTGCCTATTCTTGCTGACTTTAAAGAGGTTACTTCTGACTGTAATTTTTTGAGAATGGCCTTCTTTTGAGGTCCTGCTGGCTTTTTGTACAACTTCTCATTGTACAAAGGACCTTTTCATTAATATAACTATACTTTACCTTTTGCTCAGGAAAAAAACAGAGGATAAAAACCAAACCATCTTTATTCTTCAATTTGATCCTTAAATTCCCAAACTTGAAAACTAAGTTCAACTCTGATTTCTTTTGTTAATTTCTTGAGTCTTTCCTTGTCATTTCCTATTACTTTAGTGCTCCATAAACAGTCCTTGCTTGTGAATCAATAACCATCCTACTAGCACTGGCCTAAAGCCCCTTCTTGAACCTATTGAAGCCCTAACCAACTAGCTTGACTGCCAATCATTCGAGTCCCTTAAATTTCAGTCTACTTACTCTATCTATTTTAGTTTAAAATGAAACAAGCAGAACTTTCTATTAGGTTATCCTATATCTGTGTTTAAGATATGACAACTTGTACATGAAGTTTATTGGTGCAAAATTTTTTTTAAAAAAAAGGAACAGTACAAAGAGATAGAAAACCATGAGTAAAAGACTCAAGAGTTTTAAAAGTTGTGAAACATTTAAAATTATTATAACCAACTTGGAAGTGCAAGGCTATGAAGAAAATATGATCTAAATATATGTATCATTGCAAGTGAAAGAAAAAAGTACCTCAATCACAGTTTCTTGAGCATGGCGCTCATAAACATTTGTAACTTTATATTTGGCACGACCACTTACCTAACATATGCCAAGAATAAGGTCATTTATACAATACTCATATGTCTGTATGCACATAAAGCATTTATAGATGCCTTCAACAAAAAAAAAAAAAACATTTATAGATGAAAAGAAATCATTAATATTTATCGAGATGTTGGAATACATATACATATACATACATATATGTATGTATGTATGTATGTATGTATGTATCGAGATGACACATGCCTCATTGATGAGACTTCGCTTACTGCTTTGAAGCATATTCTTGCTTGACCTTAATCTGTAAAAAACATTTGAAATAACATAAGAGACTTAAAAAAAGTATCCAATCAAAATAAAATTGCAAAACTAGGAGTCAATGAAAACTAGTTAGAAGGCAGGTAAGAAATCATCCAACATAATTTAAATTTCTTTCATGATGAGGAAAAAACAATCCCTACTTTGTTTTGCTTTCATCAAAGGCCTGACAGCAAATTCAATGAATTACAAGTCCCCAGAAACCTCTCCGGGAAAATTATCCATTTATTTCACTTTCCCTTTGCTGTAGACGTTTGACGCATAACATTAATTCATTAAAAGTATCTTATGATTTTATGGATTTAAAGCCCGCTTACTGATCCATCCATGTAAGCTGTAGAAGATTTTGTTTCTTTTCTCTCTCCTTTTTTTTTTGGGGGGGGGGGATCTGGTTTATCTCCATTCCATGTCTGCAATTCACATTCCCTTTGCTTTTTCGTCTTCAATTTTCAACTTTGCAATACACTGTATTCTAATTCCCAAAAGCACGTGTTGCTCTTGCATGAATTTTTCCAAGGTTCAGCAATGAATTTGTCCCACCTTCTTATCTTCCTCTTCTCTATTGCTATTTTATGCTAAAAAATGGAGGGATGGAAAAGGTTCGACAATAACGAAAAAAGAAGAGTTCCGTGTCCTAATAACAATGAATATGGTAATAAACAGAATGGAATGGCGGAACAGGACTCATTTAGCCGACGCATAAGGCTTACATGATGATGATTTACGTTTAATTCCACTAAACAAAGAACAGCGACTTCAAAATTAAACCAAATTTACCCCATAGGGAAGAGACAACAAGCTCCAACTGGAGAACAACTATGTTTACTCGAAGCAGCAGAAGCGAATAGAGGAAGCTTGACCTTCGAATAACGTATGGGCGAGTAGGGCATCTCTATCCCTTGCTGCGAGTACAATAGAGCATCCATGAAAAAGAGAAGAACAAAGAACCAGAAAGAGAAGAGTTTACGAATCTCACATGGAAAGAAGGAGAAAGGGAATATATAGGGAGAAAACCAAATAAAAGTGTCTTTCCCACGTGAACAGATGCTGGGTTTTTGTCCTTTTCAGGCCACGTGTTCCTCTGCTTGTAGGAATATGCTGAGAAACCACGAGAATGAAGGCTGAATCCTACTTGGTTTCACTTCGGAATCCGATCCCTGTTGAGCGCAACGCAAATCGTTTTAACTGCCAACACTGACCGTTGCTGAAACATACTCTGAAATTTGTTAAATAGTTTTCAAGAAAAAAAATGTAAATTGCCGAAACCTAGCCTGAAGTTTTGACAGTTACTGAGAATCTGAGACATACTCTGAAATTTGTTAATAGTTTTCAAGAAAAAAAAATGTAGATTGCAACATAGCATGAAGTTTTGACAGTTGCTGAGACATACTCTGAAGTTTGCTAATAGTAATCAACTCCCCTTAGTACACCCTTCCCGTTACAATCCACTAATGAAAGACGGAAAAGGACTAAAATACCCATTCCCTGATTTTTGTTCTATTTTTACCTTCCCAAAATGGCCTTTATCTTGCCTCAGATACAATGCTGACGATGCTTGTTTGTTCTCTGTCGTCTTCTACCGAAAAAGGTTGGTTCTCTGTCGATCCAACCCTTAAAAGCCCTCCCAAAACATCCCTGCTCCCTCTCCAAGTATTGTATCAGATTTGAAGTTTTTATTATCGTTCTGAGATATCCAAAAGTGAAAACTTTCAAGTCCGGGCCGGGGCTCGGTAAAATGGGCCCATTCGGGAACTGTTCATCGATGCTCTTGTTTGTCAAATACTGGGTGCCAGTGCTACGGCTATCGAGGGAAATGTTGCTGGTGTTTTTCAATGTCCATGTGCAACAAACAAGAGAAAAAATATATATATAGAATTGAAGCTATGGTATAAGAAATGAGAAAAAGAGGAAGAACATAAAACATAGGAGATGAAAAGAGAAAAAGGTCGAAGGAGGGAGGAAAGGAGGGGAAGAATCCATTCCTAATTAAGGTTAGATTGGGCTTCAACCAGTGTCGCTGAAAGCCAGAGAGAAGACTGAAGAGAATGAAATAGTGTGACATACTGACATTAGCTAATAGCTACGAGTTGGAGATTAAAACAGTGCCGTTTTCCCTTCTCTTCATCCCTCCGCTCCTTAATTAAGGGCAAATTGGGGATTTTAAGATGTTGGAGTAGCAACACAAACAGAATTCGCATTTCATCCTCACAAGTCACAACTTTTTTTTAATTCATGGGAAGATATTCCTAATAATACACGGATACAAATGGCTATAAGGACAGTGTTGTGAGGACCAAATTCAAATTCCAACTAGCATATATGATAAGCATGACATCATATTTTGGTTATATTTGCAGAGGCAATCTAACAGAAGGGTAAAACAGAAAGGTGTAGATGCTATTGTGTCAAAAACATTAGGGAAATTGACCGTTATTAACAAACTTCGTGGTATGTTTCAACAACTGTCAAAAACTTCATGGCATTGATTTGTGTAGATTATTACATATTTATAGGATACATGCCCATTCAATAAGACCGTTTGGTTTACAAGAAAAAGTAGGGAAATGAAGGGATAGGGAGGAAACCCCCTTCCTTTTCCTACCTTTTCCTATAACCCAAACAGACTAAAGGAAAATCACTTCAACCTTTTTTTTTCATAACAAACTCCTTTTTACTTTGCTCTCTGCAAATTTTCAAATAGAGATGAGCAAATGCACCCCTCCTATCCTTATAATTGTCCTGGAACCGATATGTTCAAGCTGCAACTATGCCCTTTCTATGAATGTGTATTTGTATACTGAATATATTGTTGTTGTTCATTCTCTTTCCGAATTATATGAATATAGTATTTGTGCTAATATCTACCAAAAAAAATGCTAATAGGTGGCTGGATGAAGTGATAAAGTGGATCACCTATGTTTCATATAAAGTGGATATTTGTCTTGAGTTGGATATTGGTCATAAAAGCTAAATTCAAATATCACATATCAGGAAAATTCTTTATCAGTATCCTGTACTTTGGCTCGAGTGACAATTTGGTCCTCGAACTTTAAAATGCGGCAACACAGTATCCAAACTTTCAAAATGTGACAATCCATTATTTACCTTTAACCAGTCCATTAAACAGCCATTAAGTGACATTTGAAAAGTCAAAAACGCCCTTTGAATGATGTATAATTATCTTTATCAACCATTCAAACGTTGACAAAAAACTGAACATTCCCAAATCCTAACCTCTTCTATTCAAAAAAGTTGGTGACTATTTAGAAGAATCTAGAATTTAGGAGTGTTCATTTTATTGTCAATGTTTGAATGGTTGATAAAAAGAATTATATGGCATTCTTAGGGTATTTTTTACTTTTTAAATGTCACTTATCAGCTGATTAACGGACTGGTTAACAACAGGTATTGGATTGTCACATCTTAAAAGTTTGGATACTGGATTATCACATTTTGAAAATCCAGGTACTAAATTGTCGCATTTTAAAGTTCAGGGATCAAATTATCACTTGAGCCAAAGTACAGGGTACTGATCAGGAATTTTCCCATAATTAATACTCATACATACATATCTTACATTAATCTATACTATTATAAAGTTAAATTCACTATACAATATCAACGTAATGTTATTTTCCTCAAAAAGAAAATCCTTTGCTTACAAACGTGTTCATGCCTCTAAAATACAAATGGAGGTTTTAGATATTAAAATACGAAGAAGTTTTAAGTATTTGTCAAAAAAAAAAAAAGTTCAAGTAACTTTTCAAAATAAATAAATAAACATCTAGACAAACTCTCGTATTTTCCCCACATGGATGGACAAGAAAACAATCTCTCGTACTTCGGGGCATGGAAGAAACATGTGACCAAACAAGGCCACCAAGTAACAAAGAGCCACCTCCAACTAACCACAGTACCACATTATTACACGCTCCAACCTCTTTCCGATGCTTTTTGGAAGTGGATGAAAAACAACAATTTGGGCTTTCATTCTCGAGAATTGTGCTTTGAGCTGAGCTTCAACATGAAAACTTAGATCGTGTTTCAATAGGCTTTAGGATTTGTGTTATTAGAACCTAAAATCGTCTCTTACCAAACGCTCAAAAACACTTTTGGCTCATTTGTTGTATGTTGTAAGTTACAAAGATCAAAAGCAAAAGCTTAATCAAACAGTTTATTGACATGGTTTTGGATTAGACTTGGATCAAAGCATGTGATAGCACTGGTTTGGAGCAATCCAATTCACCCAGCTATCTGTTTATGCAACTTATATATGTTAATACACACGAAAATAGGGTTGGGAAGGGGATCATCTACAAGCATGTATATCAAGAAACAAATCAGGCCAGTGATTGGCTCGCTCACCATGCTCATGAAGTCCAGTTGCCAAGTGATAGCTGTGTATCTCTGAGTCTTTGTAAGTTGCCTTTGCAGTTTGCATTTATTTGTTATAGTGATTTGTTGAGACATGTTACYCCACTCTTGTAGAGTTCGGATCTCCTGCCCACACAAATTCTGCCCATGCTTATCTCAGCCACACATGGAGAACATCTCAACCTCTGCATAGTATTATGCACGAGGAGATATTTCCAATTCACGGAGGTGGTGTGTTGTGGATAGACAAATTCTGCCCATGCT